ACAGAAAGTGCAGCTTGTACATGAGCTGGATGGGCATGTTATGAGATGTGTTCGTGATCAAAATGGAAACCATGTCATACAAAAGTGCATTGAGAGCATTCCAACAGAAAAAATTAGGTTTATAATCTCTGCTTTCCGTGGTCAAGTTGCAACACTTTCTATCCATCCTTATGGCTGTCGTGTTATACAGGTATCAATAAACTTATGGGGTTGGAACACTTTTCTTCCCTCTTTGCCACTCTTCCTTCGGTTATCATACAAAGAATTCACCTGTTTCCTTGTTTTTGGTTTGTTGTAGAGAGTTCTGGAACATTGTACAGATGAGCTGCAATGCCAGTTCATAGTTGATGAGATCTTGGAGTCTGTTGCTGGTCTTGCCCAGGACCAGTATGGCAACTATGTCACACAGGTTTGTATTGGACTCTGTAGTTTAAGTATTAATTACTATCTATTATGACAGTTGGTCTCACATTGAAGAACTAATATGCCTCGCTAAAGATTTAATTAATGCATAATGGAAACTCAATCGATGTCTTAGTGGTTATACTTAGTACAGAGGTATCACGTATAGGGAGTACAGGAACATGTATTTCATGATAAGATTTGCCCTCCTATAGGAAGAGGATGGCCATAGGTTACTAGCACTTCAAGTTCTCTTCGGTGTTTGGCTCAAGCAGTAAACGGTGTGGCTAATTGATGACGGAAATTTCTTTGACAGAGGTGGAGAAACAGGCATCCAGTAGTGAGAATAACTCATATGGCATAATTTTTTTTAGAAGGGCATTGACTCCAGAAGTTGACTAGCTAGTGTTTTGTAACAGAAGAGGGCTTGTAGTTCAGTGTGTCACTGTCTACACCAGAAATTGCCTTCCACACACATACTTACACTGTTTGACGCACACATGTTTCACGGTAGAATGACACGAGAAAGGTGTTTTAAAAACCCCCTCTCTGATGCCTATTTGGTTCTCCTACCCTCATGATTCTGTATGTCTACAATGTACATGTTTAGCTTTTTTTCCTTCTTAATAGTTGAAAGCTGACACGTATATTCCGTGTTATATATGTGCAACACTTTTTGCCAACTAAATTTCTGGATGTACTTTATGCTTCCTAGTTACAACTACATATTTCATTGTCTGTATACTACATGTGATTGATCTGCATCATTTGTTTTGCTAATGAATTTTGATGCTTGACAGCATGTATTGGAGAGGGGAAAACCTAATGAAAGAAGGAAAATTATTAACAAGTTGTCAGGTCATTTCGTACCTCTGAGCCAGCACAAGTTTGCTTCAAATGTTGTTGAGAAATGTTTGGAATATGGTGGTGCTGCAGAACGAGAACTATTAATTAGGGAGATCGTTGGGCATAATGAAGGAAATGATAATTTGTTGGTATGGAGAATTCTTCATTGGCCCTCTAGTCCTAGTGGAAAAATACATTACTTGTGTTCTTTATGTTTATATGCACACACGTACACGAACACACACATATGCCAATTTTTATTTTACAAAGCAGTACAAGTGCATTTGAAGCTCGTACTTGTCTTGCTTAATCTCGGTTTTTTTTTTTTTTTTTTTTTTGGTCTTAGGTAATGATGAAGGACCAATATGCAAATTATGTGGTGCAGAAGACCCTTGAAATCTGTAATGATAGTCAACGGGTGTTATTAATTAATCGTATAAGGGCTCATACAAACGCATTGAAGAAGTACACTTATGGGAAGCACATTGTAGCACGGTTTGAGCAGCTATTTGGAGAAGGTGTGTACTCTTAAACTTTGTATCACTCTTGGTATACCGTATAATGTTTACTGCTTCATCGATTAAATGTGGAGTATGCATGCTGAACCTCATATTAACACGGAGAGGTGGAAATGACCAAAATGTGGTTGATGTAGCCTCTACTTCATTTGAAATCTCGCTTTTATGTTCTAATTCGTTATAAAATGGAAAATTCGTTTGGCGCCCTTCGTCCATTGCAAATTGAGAAGGGTATTTTATGAAGTACTGGGTTTTTGAACTGTTTAATTGATCATGTGGTAAAAGAAATGGATAATCGGAAGAGGAAATGACAGGGTAATACATTTTTAGTGCCTCCTAGTGGCATACAGTTTCGAACATTGCAAAGACAATCTCGCAAGTATATTCGTCATTTGACCATACTCTTTGTTTTTCTTTGGCCTGCAGAAAATCTATCAGGATCGTGATGGGAACGAAGGAAAAATATCGAAGAAAGTACCTTCAGTGAATCTGTGGTTTGTCAATGCATACAGGGAATGTGTATCCCATGGAAATTGAAGAGAATAGCATGATATTGGTTTACTGTGGCACCCTGTTCATGGGAGCTGTGGCTTGGCCGTGCAGCCAGGTTGTCATGTGGCTTCATGTGCAATTCGACCATCAGTAAGAGAGGGTTGATGTTTCGTTGGTAGGTAAGTCGGTCCGGTTGGTAGTTGCTAGTAAATATATGTTTTATGGTGAAGAAGTATATACTTACGTACTCATAGGACGATTTGATTGCCGTACAATTCAGTGATTGTAGTTATTGGTAGGAAAAATCTTGATGCTGTAAATCTATTTAGCACATTATTTGCTGCAAATGTGTTGGTTTTTGTGATAAATTGTAGGCGTGTTTTTTTTTTTTTTTTTTTTTTTTTTTTTTTTTACGACTGTAGAAAAATTGCAACACGGTCCCCTCTAAATAAACGTCTCGCTGGTTCAAACTACATGTTTAAGGCTCAATCTGCCGAGCCTTGTAGCATGAGTTTGTAAATAAGCAGGTATTAAAGTGGTAGGTTGTATGGAGATGTAACTCAAGGAGGAGAAATTCTTTATCACCTTATGCCGAGGTCACATTAAGCACGCCCCTAGTCTTTGGGTTAGTGTGGCGTATGCTCACCTCTCTCCCTCTTGAGCTAACTCGATGTTTGATGGCTTTCAAATGTGAGGTTTTAAGATGATATTCATGCCTAGTTGTGAAAGCTAATGTTAAGGAGATTAAATTTCTAAATTAAATTTTATTAGCCGAATGATGTAGATGTTGATGATTGGATTATTACGAAGTGTTGATTGACTTGCTTATTTTCTGTTGCTAACATCGTTTGATTTGTCAATTTGGTTTAAAGTTTTGGTGTACCTAGCATTATCCAATTGTGAATATGTGACACCGCGGGTTTGAGGGGTCTATGCTTGCCATCCAAAGGCGAAAGTAATAATCTTATGCCACCTTGACATGTGATACTAGATTTACTTAAGCCTTTAAGTAGGATGTAGTTAATCCAATCTTATGTTTGGACTCAAAATTAAAGGATTGATAAGAGAACTGACACACTCTGCCCGGGTGGCCTCCCAGCTAAGGGTGGAAATGTGCTGATCAACACTACAATAAAACCCCATTGTAAAGGCGACAAAATACTATCAACCTAATAACGAAGTTATAACTAAGGAAATTGATAGTATTTCGTCACCTTTACGATGGGGTTTTATTGTCAATTTACCCTTAGCTGGAAGGTTATTTCGGTCATGATGTGTCATTTTAAAGCTTATTAGATACTGATCATGTGCATTTTTATGAGAAATAATCCTTAAAAAGAGGGATAATTTTTCTTTCTAATATAATGATTATTTTCACTAATGGGCAGACAATTTGGGTTTAAGCCACACAAGATGTCAGGGGTGGATCCATTCATGGATGCGGAAGAGTCCTCCAAGGACCGCTTAACAATTTGGGCAGGTGGTGGAAGAGAGATCACCATAGCTGTGCAGATGTTGTGTAACAGAAGCTTTGAACCAAGAAGAAATATTTAATTTCAAACGAAAAGGAACATAGGGAAGACCATTATGATTATGTTATTCTTAGATCTTGATTCCAACGAGAAGAAAGACTTTCTCTCTTCATTTTCCATGTAACCAACCTCTCTTTTTTTTTTTTCCTTCCTTTTTTCATTTTAATTGTTGGCCAATTATTTTGTCACTTGGCATTTTAATTAAAAAAGTATAGTGTATTACTTAACAAATACTATTTAGAATATATGTTTGACATCGTCATTTTTTTTTTCAAATTCACTATAAATTCATACGATCCCTGAAAAATATTTTGTAAAGTACTAAAAACATGTAATCACTTGAACCTTCATCTCATATCATCAAATCCACTAAAATACTAAAGCAAAAATTCTGATATTTTTGTATGTTATTGTATATGTTAAATAATAAACCTATGTGAAAAAATAAACCCAACTTCTTAATAGAAGTATTGTTTTTTTTTTTTTTTCAAGAGTAAATAGATACTTATTTATATAATATATAATGAATTTACTTAACTTAAACCCGCCTAGTCCACCTAGGCCTGGTCTATGCACATAGGTGCTAGATCCCAACTCACCATCCGACTAGCACTTAGCATACCATGGTTAGGATCACCAATATTAAAATTCTGCATTCGCCATTGCGAGATGCCATCAATAATTTGCGCTAAACTTGCCTTTCTCAGAAGTCAAACCTAAACCCGCCTAGAAAGTTTGGAGTATAGAATGAGATTTTTAGAGTGCCAATAACAATTCCCTTTTATTTTTGTTGTCAAATGATAGATTTTGATAGAGTGAGTGTTAGATTAGTTATCGACGAGGTTTGAACCTACGTCGTTATGCAAAAGCTTGACACCTCTCCACTACTATAGTAAAAGACAACGTGCATGTAACCTTATTTTATTATGACATATCTTTCTTGTCATGATTGAATACACCATTGAAACAATCATGCGAGAGGTCTACTAAGTCAATTGCGTAACGAGTTGGGGAGAGACGTAAGAGCAGAGCAGCATGTGAGATTCTCATCCACCTTGTCGCTCAGTACGTAAACCGAAGATGGGCTTAACAGTTGGCACCATTAGAGACGTAAACCGAAGCCCATGGAGCCCAAAACTTGTAAAACCCACGAAGGAAAACCTGCGGGTGCTAGGGTTTAAGCTCTCCTCTCTCTCTCTCTCTTTCTCTCTGTCTCTCTCTCTTGGCTTTCATCTCTCCCCCTGTCGCTCCTGCATTTCGTTGGGTTCTCGCTTAACGCACAAGAGAAAAACAACCATGTCTCGGCCGGAGCTGCAAGCTCCACCTGAGATTTTCTACAATGAAGACGAAGCTCGCAAGTACACCCGCAATTCCCGAATCATGGAAATTCAGTCGGAGCTCTCCCACCGAGCCCTCGAGCTTCTTGCTCTCCCCGACGATGGCGTCCCCAGGCTGCTCCTCGACATTGGTAATATTTCAAAACCCAACTCCCCCATCTTTCAATTCAATTTTTCGTAAAAAATCCCAAAGGGGTTTGATTTTATTCACCGAAATGGTGAAACAGCTGAGTGAGTGATTGAGGTTTTCACTGCAGGTTGTGGGTCGGGGCTCAGTGGAGACACATTGTCGGAGAGTGGGCATCAGTGGATTGGTTTGGATATTTCCCAGTCGATGCTTGGTAGGTGTTTTTATTTTTGGGCTTTTGTGTATCGTTTTCGATTTGGTTTTCAGCTTCTTGATTGCTTCCATGGTTTGTTCTAAATCGGAATTTCATTTCTTCGATGATTGGAGATGTGGCATTGGAGAATGAGGTTGAGGGTGACCTTCTGCTAGGGGACATGGGTCAGGTATCACTCTTAATGCCTCATGGTTCAGTTTTTTGGCACGTCCCTTGTTATTTTTCTATCTTATTTGCGATTCTTCATTGTCATCCAAAAGACAAAGAAAGGAGAAAAAATATGTATAGAAATATGATATTGTTCAACCTGAAATTGTTTTTATTATCAGCGTATGTAATCATTGGATTTTGTTTCAGGGCTTAGGACTTCGTTCAGGAGTTATTGATGGAGCGATAAGCATCTCAGCCGTTCAGGTTTACTTTTGTTTTCACTCACTAATACTTGCAATGATGGATAATGGACATAGCTGGATTTTTTTTTGCCTATCTTAGCTTGTGTCCCTTGTTTTGTCAGTTTTTTTGTTTTTTTTTTTTTTGTATTTATACCCCAATAGTGAAGAGCTCAAAATTCAATTATTTCCGCTCTATCTCATATCTTTTCTGAAATAATTACCATGTTGTAACTGATTTGTTCCTTTATTTTCATAACCCCTGAGATTACTTCACGTGTGCATTCCTTATGTTTTTTATACGGTTTACTAAATGAATCTTACTCCCGTTTTACTTTACTGTGTTTTAAATGCAGTGGTTGTGCAATGCTGATAAGTCCTCACATAATCCACGATTACGATTGAAGTATGTTGTGTTTCTTGTTGGTTTTTATTTTCTCATCATAATTTTGTCAGTTTATGCTTGAAACGCAGTGATATATGTGCCATGATCTTCTTATTCTTGGTCTTTTTACGACATTAAGCATAGGATGAGCCTGCAATCCCTTTTTAATTGCAGTATGAATGTGTTGTCTTAAATCCTTTGCAGGGCTTTCTTTGGATCATTGTACAGATGCTTAGCAAGGGGTGCAAGAGCAGCGTTTCAACTTTATCCTGAAAACCTGGACCAGCGCGAGTTGATTTTGAGTTCTGCTATGCGTGCTGGATTTGCAGGGGGTGTTGTTGTTGATTATCCCAACAGGTATGCAAGAAACCAATTATGCAATCTTGTGTCATAGGCTGTTAGCTCCCTCTTTTATGGTACAACGCTTTATACATTTTCTTGTGTACGTGCATCATTTTATCTTTCAGTAAACCTTTTTTTCTCCCTTTCAATCTAACATTTTCTTCACATGAATGAGTGCGGAAAAAAATGGAATGTGTTGGTGTAACTTACCCAACATATCAAACTGTTGTGGTAGGGTCAGGGAAATAGAACGAAATATAGGGCAAAACGTCAGATTCCGACTTCACAGAGTTTTTAATATCCAAATTCTTCAAGTAGTATGTTCCTCTAACTTAAGGAATAATCTTGTTACAGTTCCAAGAAACGAAAAGAATACCTTGTCCTCACTTGTGGTCCACCATCTATTAGCACTTCTACTCCCAAGGGAAAAGGTGAAGATGGCGAGGGTTCCTCTAACGATGAGAGTAGTGAAGATGAAGAAAATCAGACAGTAAGTCTTCACGGATGCATTTACCATTACTATAGTCTTGTTTTTCTTGATCAACTACCATTGCCTTTTTTGTTCAACCTTTCTACTATTCTAATTTGTTATATTTTTTCTAAAAAAAACAATATTATCCAAACTAAGGGGGTGGGGGAGTGTGCTAAGCCTCACAATGGGCCAGACATAATAATATGGTTCAAATTCGCTTTTGGCGAGAATCGAACCTAAGGTCTCTCACTTACAAGTGAAGGGGAATACCACTAGACTGTAGTACTAAGTGGCTGATTTGTTATATTTTATTTGTGGGAAGCAGGTTTCAAACTCAGACAGGCACAGGCCGAGGAAAAAGCAGAAGACAAGTAAGAAAGGCAAGGGAAGAGAATGGATACTAAAGAAGAAGGACCAAATGAGAAAAAAAGGAAATGTTGTTCCCCCAGACACAAAATACACAGCTCGGAAACGGAAGGCTCGATTTTGATCTTGCACGAGGCCTATATTGTGTCATTTATGAGTGATGGCCTTAATGTTTTCTTTACAGTTTATACAGGCGTCTACGAAGGCATTACATTCCCTTTAGTGCTCGAAAATACTGGCTTTTAAAGCAGTTTTTATACAGATCTCGCCGGGCAACGGATTGATATCTCATTCACTCTTGTAACCTTAACTAGTTTGAGAAAAGAGACTTTATTCTGTTCCAAGAGGTATTTGTTTATTTGTTTGTCCGCTAAACTTGTAAGGATTAGTCAATTTCTCCTCGTAATTTTAATTCTGGCCAATTTTCCTCCTCAAACTCTCATGATTAGTCAATTTCCACCTTGTTGGATTTTCAGACTTTTCATCCAATCTTCCGTTTAGTATGCCACCACATGCCATCCACATGATCACCCTTCAAGGGCAAAAATGTTTCTTAATTAAAAACTGCTAATTTCATCCCTTCTCTTAGATTGAATGCTATTTCTAAATCAATCATTAGTCGATTGAAGTCATATATGACTCCAATGATCAACAAATTTAAGTTATGACTTGTTGGGTACTTCAGGATCAAGAGTTGTGGTCTCATTTAGTCCATAGTATTCGTCAGTGACTTCACGACGTTTCGTGCCCCATCCTTCGCAGCATATTTTCACATTCATGCAAACTTACGACCGCCACCAAACAATATGTAAGCCACGGCCAACGGGGAAAAAGTTTAGTGGATTGATTCGAAGAAAACCTGTCTTTAAGAACGACAGAACGTCCTCCGAGGAAGGTAAAAATAAATCGAAAAATGCAGAAACAAAGCCAAACAGAGGATACGACTTCCAACATAACCACAAACCATTTAAAGAGTGCACAACAAAAATTTCTTCAGCTCACATAATTTCTCATCCAAACAATTCACAAACATCCAACCCTACATGCAATTTAAAAAAGAAAAGAAAAGAGAAACTGGTAAAGATTACGAGATAATATATGACTCGGTAACAAGTGAGTTATGACTAGATTAATCAAAAAGAGAGAATCCCATGTCATCGTCGCTCTCCTCCTTCTCTTCCTTCTTCTCCTCAGCCGGGGGAGCCTCTGCAGCAGCCGCTGCACCACCTCCAGGAGCAGCAGCAGCAGCTCCACCTCCAATGAAGGCACCACCGCCACCACCACCACCACCACCAATGATCACCTGAACCGAATAAGTTTAAACATAGGAATTCAGCACCCCAACGCTTGGTTTTCAACGTTTTCTCAACATAAGGTACCACGGAAAACAAATTATATCTTCCAAAGGGGTTTGACGTTGTAACTGACCTTACAGGAAAATAAAAAGGCTACAGATGCGTCGATGAACAATTGAGCAAAAACACAATTCTGACTATCTTGAAGCAAAACCCCTAACACGGGTTCTGGAGCATATTTTACATGTGAAACAAGTCCTACAAATCCGCATAGTAACAAATGCATCCCCAAACAATTTGAGCCAACACAATGCTGACTAATTTGAAACAAAAAACCAAACACTAGGGTTCTGGTTCTGGAGCCTATTTTCCACTATTACCTGCATTTTCTTCAATCATTATTTTTTTATTTTTTCCAACATTCGATTCAAATTCAAGGAAAGCATAATAAAACCAATTAAAAGATAAAGATCAACAAACAATACATAACAAACCAAATCAAATCTCGGATTTCAATTTTCCATCTCAAATGGAAACCCTAAGAAAAAAAACAGGACTGAAGAATCAAAGGCAAAGGAGCAATAAGGGACAGAGAGGGACCTGGAAAACGGCAGAGGTGGGAGTGACAGGTGAGTACGAGGTCTGGACACCGCCGGAGGACTCGGAAGATAGAGCGGACTGGACGAGCTTCCTCTGGAGCTCGAATGTGGAGGGAGCGGAGGCCTCAAGGTCTCCATTCTGCTGTTTGGCGGACCACTCTCCCCCGGAGGTCCTCAACACGAAGGTGAACACTCCCATGGCGAATCGAAAACCCTAACACCAATGCAGCTTTCTGTATACAAGAGTTTGGCGCTTTGAGACCGCACTTTATGCTGCGTTTTTCCTCTATATGTAGAATACGATGCCAAAACCCTAGCAGCCGCTTAATAATTTACAAAGACAAGTTTGCCCCTGTCATCTTCCACAATTCCATTTCTTTTTTTTTTTTCTTCTTTTCTTTAAGACAAAGGATATCGAAACTTAGGTTTCAAGTTTTGTATTAGGGCTCAAACATATTGAAAAACAGTATTGGCATCCTCGTCGATAAGACTCTAACACAAAGTGTCGTAGATGTTAAGAGGGTTAGGGGTGGAATTATAGCAATCAAGGTTGTGATTGGACAAGAACTTATTAATGTGATTAGCGCATAAGGATTGCAAAATTATACTGGGAGAGAGCTTGGCTAACCAACATCAACTGTTGGGATGGATGTACATATGAAAAGAGATAAAAGGATGAACAAGACCTTGAAGTGTTCAAGAACTAGATGGTGGAATCTAAAAGAAGAAATAGCAAGTCACCTTCAAAGAGAAACTACTAGCTGAATGCGTTTGAGATATAGAGGGGAAATAGCAAGTCACCTTCAAAGAGAAACTACTAGCTGAAGTCACCGATGTCTCGTCTCATGTTCTGCATTTCTAAAGTCTTCAGGAGAAAGAAAACATTTTCATTTTCGATGTCAACATTCTCTTCGCTGAAGCCAATCCCACAATTCTCTCGAGCTCAAATGCAATAAGCGAAAAATAAAAATACACACGCATATCAAGTTTTTCAGTATTCATTGGTCCGATAATCAAACAAACAAACAAAATACAGAATCTAATTCATATTCGCGACATCAGGCTGTGTAAAACGACAACAGGAGATTCACACAATTCTGATGTTAGGCAGTTTCTTTATTCAATTGATGAGAACCGTGCCAGTTTCTAATATAAAGGATCCTAAGTTGTTAAACATTCAAAACTTCTAGCAAAGTTAACAACTACCCTATCTCATCCTCGTAATCAAAGAACGATCCAGCACACTTATAAGAGAACAAAACATTACCCGAAGGAGATCAAATTGAGAAAAGAGCACTGTGCATACCATGTCATTGGACCCATCAAGCATATTAGCAATCTGCAATTAAATAAAAAGAGCGTTTTGGTTTACGAAAAGAAGAATATGACTGTATCTCAAAATGAATTATATAAAGTATCAAAGACAAGACACTTCCATTATTATTATTTTTAAATTTGGTAGCTCTTCAATTGCTTCTTAAAGAGAATGACAATTTGTATCGAGCTCACCTCAGGGTAAAATTCCTTTCTCTTAGGCAGAGAATATGTGATTAAATTCTGAACGCCATGGAAAGGCACAAAATACATCAGCATTTGGACAAGAAAAGCATGCTCAAAGCAGTCTAAAGAACCTTATATCTGTGGTGAAAGTGTGATTTCTCAGTATAAAGCATTATCTTCCGCTTGCCTTCAAAGAACCGAACCCATGCATGAGAAATATCACTTTGTCCTGCATATCTGAGGAAAGACAAAATATCTGAGAATTTTCCACTCAGTAAATTTATGACCACACAATCATAACAACATAAATAGGACAGGTTCTTACTCATGAAGTAAACAGAAGGATGCACTCTGTGACTTCAAAAAATTCCGAACTCGAACATATTCAAAGTAAGAACTGATAAATATCATAATCCCGCCCTGAACAAAAGTTTCCAAGTAAAGATATCATGAAAAATTCCCAGGATCATTCAAGGACACTTTAAACAAAAATTTATTAATAATTGCAATTTTAAAAACATTAGGCTTCAAATAATTACCTCAACAGAATCTTTATCTTTGGGAAGATCTGAAAACAGAAAAAACACTAAACATCTCAAAATGTGAGTAAAAAGATGAAAAAAAAAAAAAAATCAAGCTAAACTAAAACAGTCAAGAACAGAGTGTGTATTTCAAATTCTTAAAACACAGCAAGTTCAATGACATGAGTAGGGTTTGGGTTAAGATTGGAATATTTTTTCTTTCGAAAAAACTGAATTTATATCAGCAACTTTTCATATTCTCTTCCAACTTCAAGTGCAAGTTGTTTTAGCTAGTACAAACATTGCCCCAATCTTCCTAAAAGTTTTGGCACAAAAGTATTTGTTTCCATAGATTTGAAAACAAAAACTTCAGGAACTATAACTTCAAAATTAAAACTTATGTTTCAAAAAAAATATTAAGGGGTTGTTTCCCATCCTTCTTCGAACTTTTTGTTATCGATACTAATGGTGTTAACTAATTTAGCTACATTCATCATTTTTTAAAACAAAAAATTGGATCCAAGAAGGATACCAAACAGGCCCTAAAGAATTCTTCTTCAAGATGGTTCTATCAAATTAATAACAAAGTATCTAGCCATAATTTATAGAGACCTTCTTTAATAAGTTGAACTATAGCAATTCAGAAATCAAATTATAATTGTTTAATAACAACCAACTATAAAGTCTCTTGCAATTAAGGATACTCCTTGGAAACAGAACAAACCTTTGTAGTAAAATATTCAAAACGAGCATCCTCAAAATGTTCTATTGAGTCTGCATCAAACCGCTGATAAATCTGGAAGGTTGAAAAGTAAAAAAGTGAATTAGCTGAAGAAGTTATTTCCAGATCTGAAACATAATTAAGGAATCAATCTAATTCCTTACACTTTAAGAAGAAACTGAGTACAGTGATACATATATTATTATTTTTTTCTAGGTAGCCACTTATTCATAATAAATATTCAAATCACACCAGGAAACAAAAAGAACAATTCAGAGTCTCAATGTTGTGTGACCCATATTCCCGATAGGTTCTCAATCAATGAAGTCAAAACATAAATCAATAAAGACCATATCCACTGATTTCATGTTTTCATTCAAGTCCACCTTAACCGCACAAAAAGGCCAATTATCAGCAACAAGAATCAAGGAGCAGAACAGAAAATATAATAGGAACTGCACAATACAAAATATAATAGGGGAATGAAGTGTACATAAGCATACAATCTGATTTAAAAAAGATGCCAAAATGGTAAGACATACAAACATAAAAGCTAGTGGTGATTAACATCGAGCTTAACACAGCATACAGAAATAATGTTAATGTATAATAAAAATGCAAAAGCCAAATGAACAAGATATTTCATGTAAATGCACCTCATGCACATTGATGGTTCAACAGCAGATTGAGAACCAGTTCCCAGGTCCTGTTCTGCATCCGAATCATGAGTCCCTCGGTCATCCGAGTCAGAGGGCTCCTGGTCATCCTCATTTTCAGAATCTTCACTATGCTCCTCAATTCCCGCCATTTCAGGGTCTTCATCATCAACTCCTATGCAAGTATAGAGCATGAATTAAAAAATATAAAGTGCAGAAAGATCAATTTGACTCTGCTTATGAAGAATTAAGACTACATCTTAATCCAATATCACATAGGAGATAAAAACAAAAGTAAGCATTCATGTCACTACAGTAGTGTATGCCTTCCATAACAATATTGATATATGACCATACGAACCTCAACCCAGGAGGCCAGTATCGTTACGATGGAAAATGCACAAGTACTGTCTGGAAAACAATTAGGAGGGCAGCGACAACAAAATTGTTTTCTAATATTTGAATATAAAACATAAATGCTCTACCTTCTTCATCATCATCCGCATCCTCTGAGTCATGCTAATTCAATTCATGGGCAGGGAACCAAACAAAAACTTACCTAGGTTTTTCCCAGATTGTTTTCCCATGTTGAGAAGAAAAAGAACACTGGAAATTTCGCGCCAGAAGCAAATGCACAGACTTGGTTTCGGTTAAAGCTACCGGAGGAGGATAAGAGCTTGTTGGAGTTGAAGCCTGAGGTCGTTTAATTTATAGTCAAACAGAATGCCAAAGCATGAGGCAGAACATAGCAAACAAATTTTAATTCTATAAAAACGAAAAAGAAATCCAGTTTTTTCCTATCAGCTACAACTTTGCACCATCAGTCTCTGATAAAATTAAGTTTTGACAAATTTATAGAATTCTTGTTCCATGACCAAATTCAAATCAGAAAAGGGAAAATTCGGAGTTTGGGAGCTTACGGTGTGCCTCGCGGTGGCTGAACCTATGCTCGCGATGGTGAAGGCGGGCTCGTGCAACCGCGTTGGGAGGAGACCTGCGGGCTTAACGTGAAAGTGAGAGGGGAAATCGAGGTTTTTGGGGTTTAAGGATTTTTAGGGTTTAGGGTTTAAGATGAGCAGAGGTGTGAAATTAGTTATTGGGTTGTTAATGGATCGCATTAAGACCCATTTAGTTTGATTTCAGATTAAATGGGTCTTAGCGTGTACCCATTAACAGTCTCATAGGTTGATTTGTCACCTTTAAAGGTTTGTACATACATCTGCATTTCACGTTTACAGTTTGTACATGCATGTGCGCTTGATGTTTAAATTTCTTATGTATTATGATTAGTGATGTTGACCCGTCAGAATTGCTCACTGTTTTTATAAGAGTTGAGCACGCAATTTAAGGCAATATATGTCGATGACATGAAGCTAGTTGGAACTGCTAAAGAGCTCAACAAAATTACTGAATATCTGAAAAGCTAATTTGCAATGGAAGGCCTTGGAAACACAAAATAGTGTCTTAACTTGCAGATCGAGCATTGTGCTAGTGGGATTTTGGTCCATCAATTAGCTTACATTGAAAAAGTCTCAAAGCGCTTTGGCATGGATAAAGCTTATCCACTCAGCACATCAATGGTCATTCAGTCTCTTGACATTAAGAAATATCTATTTCGTTCAAAAGAAGATGATATAATAGGCATCCAATGAGGAATGTTGTAATTATAGATGTCATGTAAATCTTCGCTATTTATTCAAGATTGTTGTAATTATGAATGCCATGTGAGTCTTCGCCTATTTATTGAAGATTGTTGCATAGGGTAAATAGTTCTCACCATTTAGCTACAGAATTTTCGCTCATGTCTATGCAAGGTTGTATATGTTTAGTCGGTGAACTTTCCGATATAAATGTCAACTTTGAGACCCCAAACGCCGATTGAGAACTTAGCTTCAGTTCCCTCTTGTGAACAACAAAAGCACAAACAATAATGAAAGAAATTATGAGTCTCCTTCACCCTTTTTTCTTTTGTATTCATCTCCTATATCGAAAACAAATAAAGATAACAAAACAGTGTGATACGTTCCACCTCAACCTATAGCAAAGGTTTCCCTCTCTCTTTCGTATCCATATACCATATCAAAAACAAATAAAGATACAATGTGATACTCTGATGTCGTTTCACTTTAACCTCTAGCAAAGGTTCCCTCCTCTGTTTCGCCTATTTATAACAAATTCAACTGTTAAAATATCCGGTCCAAATTTTTGTAATAAAATAACCGGTCCACCATTGATACTGGACTAATTTCCATGCAATGCAACATTAAGGACGAGTCGGGTCTTAACAGCTTGCAATAATTACATGACTTGAAACAATTTCTTCTTTCGACTCTTGGTACAATCATACAAGTCAATATTTTGGAAAGATGGTTCAACACAACGGAACGAGGAAGTGGTGCGCGTGATGCTGCTTATGATTCGGCCGGGGGGAGCAACTTTAGAGAAAATACTACATCTGCTACTGAAGCACTTGCTTTACGTGAGACGTTTGCAAAAGTTAAAGGTTTTAAAATTTTCAATGTCGAAGGTGACTCCAAGTTCATTATTGATTCTGTTTTCAACAAGTGCAGGACACATTGACGATTGAAGACTATTCTTGAGGATATTAGATTACTTGCAAAATCCTTTTCTTCTATATTTTGGACTCATATTTTTTAAAGAGGCGAATTTTCCAGCTAATGTCATTACTAGCAGAGCACACTTAATTCATGATACTTAAATATGGGAAAGGTCCTTACCCGCTATTGCTAGAAGTGCTTTACTCTGTGATTGTACTGAAAATAATTGTACTTGAGGTTTCTCTCTTTGAATAAATTTCTTTTCAATCAATAAAAAATTCTTACAAATCACAAACTTCAAATCTACAGAGAAAGAAACGAAATAAATTCCCCAGAATACTAAGCTGGGGATGGTAGAGATCATTGGTTTCAATGACAACCGGCGTTCCTTTGTCACGGCAGTAGTTGCTGCCACTTGAATGCCGCGCCTTTGTCGTGGCAGTAGTTGCTGTCACTTGTGCCGCGGCATTCGTTTGTCAGTTTGAGGGTTACATAAGTCTCATTGATTGTTTTGAGCATGAGTTGATCTGAGACTTTACGTACAGAACATTACTTATTTCACTTATTTAATTTCTTAAAGGTGATTACAGAGAGGTAAAACAAAAAGCTGAATGCCGAAATTGTTCAAACAGATGCTTTTGAGAATTTTCGGGATCCAACTATTTATAAACGCTACTAAACTTTCAACCCCGAATGAATAGCAACTACACCTCCAACAAGGTTCTCATATTCAACCTGCTGGAATCCTGCATCCGCAATCATCGAAGCAAACTTCTCCTGCGTACATAAGATGAATTGCAAGGGAATATAAGAAAATTTACAAGAAAGAACTACGCGCAGGACAAATCAAAATGCTGATAATACTAAAATAGAGTATTCAAGCATGGAATCTGAAAACAAAACCTGCGGGGGGAAACGACGAATACTCTCCACCAAGTACTGGTAAGATTTTCTATCCCCTGCAACGAGCTCTCCCAGGGCTGGAATGACTGAGAATGAGTAAAAATCATAGCTGCACAAGGAAATGAGGAAACCTTAATTACATGACTAAAAGAAATACACATGAAAGAAAGCAATCCATCCAATGGCAACATAGTAAAACATTTATAAGTAATCTAGTGTGTGAGTGTCACAGTCACGTGGCTTTGTGCTAAAATTCAAATGTGGCGCTGTGTGATTGCCCCACATGCACCGTTGCCCGCCATAACAATCTTTGCCAATGACTCAAATCTCTATAGTAAAAGATTTTCCTCTAAGCTGGAGTGCACAGTAACACTTGTGTGCATGTCATTTGACACTACACGCTCATGCCAGTGTGCACCTAGAAGCGGTATGGTGCTTATGACAGCAGAAAAATCCAATTAAAGTCAAATTCAATGGAGCATTTGTCTTTCGTTGTTTTTTTCCTGGGATAAGGAACTTCAACATAACATTTGGAGCAAGCAGCAGGATTAACGTTAAACTTTCGTAACAGAAGGACAAGATACGAAAATAAATTTTAAAAAATTGTACAATAAATACCTATGCCGCAGACCATGAATCTATAATATTGCACGTACAAACATGATGATGTCCGTGATAACTCAAAAGAGATTCCCTCGTAGGTTAGAAATTGCAAATTTAACCAACTAAAAGTGTCAAATACTTACAATTCTTTGAATACAGGAATGTCTACATGGCTCAGTTCAAGGCACAGGAACCTTCCTCCACGCTTTAGCACTCTATAAACAAAATCATAAAGAGCAAACATGATGAGTGTAATAATTTGACAAACTACTTTAATGCCTCTTCCCGCAAAAATACACGACAGCCTATTAATAATCAAAATGACCAGAATAACTTAACATTGGCACAAAAGCTTATATCATGAATGCAGATAAGTTTTTAGATGGATTGAGCTGTAGAAATGCCCTTGAAGAACATTGTTTCACAGGTTTTCCTACATGTATCAGTGGCATCAGTAGAAGTCACTTATATAGTGTCATTTTGGTCAAGTTATATACTGACAGTTTCATCTTACTGTTAATCCCCTAAGTCAGATATCACCTTTTTAGGTTCAAAGTCGGTTCTTTAGAATTGCATGTGCACATAAATAGCATTATCTGTCACGAGCTTCGGCCCCACACTAATAAAAAATTATTCAGGTTTTCATCTGGTTCTTTCTATCTACTGTAGCTCTGGATATTGGTTCATCGTGTGTGTAGTTTTAGCGCATCCACATAATTGTTTAGAAGGGAACACATCCATATACAAAAGGTAATGGAAACAATTCACATATTTCTATTATTCTTTATGGAAAAGCAGGGAATAGAGTCGGAAAAATGTTTGCAAGTGTGCCTTGTTGCCTATAACATCCGACGGAGACAGTAAGGAGGAAATTGGTTATGTCTCACAATCCTCTCCTCCGCCTTAAAAGCTTCCGCATGAGACTAACTAATTTGAGAAAACCAAAATAGACAATTTAACTACTCAAGCTGTATTCTAGCACTATCAACGCAAAAACAAAAATGAAAAATACTACAGGTGAAGTGCTTAAAACTAATTGAAATAAGTTACTTATTCAACAGTTGATACACGGAGTGATAGCCATTGAATTCTTCATATTTAAGGATTGATAGCCTATTTGGAGAGATCATTTACCAATTTTCCATCATGATAATTTTCCCTGCATTATTATTAACTGTTAGTATTTGTTAACCAGTACAGAGGTTTGACCACCTTACCGATAGGCTTCAGACAGCACTTTCTCTATGTGTGTAACATTCCTAATTCCAAATGCAATTGTGTAACCATCCATTGTATTATCTCCAAAAGACAAGGCTTCTGCATCTCCCTCCACCCATAGAAGGGATTTGTCTTCTCCAATACCTGTAAATTTCAATACACGATTGTATATTTATAAACAAAAGTAGAATTTGTTTGTCCAATAACTAAGGAGAATGCCTAATGCAACCTAAGTCAAAGTCACAGCATTATCTGACCTCTCTCCAACGCCCGCTTTTTACCAACATTCAACATGTTAGGGTTTATGTCACATACATAAATCTTAGTTTCTTCCTGTAAATCATCTTCGAGAACATCTTGCATAGCTCTACGTCTGATGCTGTTTACTGAGTCTAGTATTCTGAAGGCAACATCACCTGACAACATAAAATTACCAGTAAGATTGACATACACAATTAGAAGAATTGATTTCTGTATGGTTTCAGACAAGGAAACAAACTGTCCTATGAAATTATGTTATTTTATTTTATTTTTCCATCTGGCAGATTCACTCCAACATGAGCAGGTAACATACCTGCAAGATCACCTTCCACTCCATAATATATGATGGGAATCATGGGATGGTGTCATTTGCACCCAACGGCAATTTTAGTCCATTTTCGCCTTTGGAAATTTTGCCTAACTTCTTATTCTCAAATTATAAAAATAATTCTTGTGCATAATGATTCTCCTTTTTATTTTGTTGGCTAACTTCTTCCTAGCCACTCCATATGGGGATTTCAGGTCTCTTCCTAACCCAAACTGGATCTCATACTTTATGATAGGCATGTACCTTTCTATTAAAATGCCCAATGCTGAGTCCAGGTAACCAACAGTATACAAAAGTTGGATGGTATAAAAATTCAAACTGGGTTACCTACTTGGACCTCCTCCTTTCGCAAGGAGATAAGTGCACATATCAGCCTAAATCGGGGTTTCTCTAAAACAATTTGGCAACAACTTACACTTGAAATGATTTGAATCCAGATAAGATGGGTAATATTGATACCACTTGTTACTTCTTAAAAAAATACCACTTATTATTATCTCATGTGACAATAAATCTATGAGGTACATACATGTGTCCTAAAGTCTTATGGTCCACATATTTGACAAATTTACTGCAGTAAATGCATGTCACGAGCTTTACCTGTCCCACCAGCCACATCAAGATGCTTCATTCCAGGGAAAGGATTCAGTTTGGAAACTAATCTGAAAAGAGATCGGGCATTATATAGAGCAGTGAAAAAAGTCAAGGTGCTAACAATACGCTCGTCTATAAAAGAAAATAAACAGACGGAAAAAAATAACGCATTAAAGTAAACCTTCAATAGGTTTACCTATCCTTCCATAATCTGTGTAATCCTGCACTCATCACATCATTCATTAGATCATAGTTTGAGGCAACATTGCTGAAGACATTACCAACCATTTGACTTTTTTCCTCTTCCCTTACTTCTTTAAATCCTGCACAAGAAACACTTAACGACTATAATTTATCAGCCAAATGAACCAAGCTAATGATTTGTATAAAACTATCCGTGATACACCAAAATATTCGACGTTTCTAACAGGTTGAGCATTCATATTCTGTACACATCACACTAACCACAACGTCCTATTTAACAATAAAATTAATACACATTGAAATCTACATGTTCATGCACACACAAAGTGAGAGTAAGCGGAAAGGACTAACCAAAGCTTGTAGCATGTGAATGCAATAGAGCAGCAGGAGAAAACCTGTGTAATAGTTTACGCCCTAACTTCCTCGTCACTGTTCTCAAGGCCATAACTGTATCTCTGTAAATAAATATTTGTAAATAACGATCATACAATGTCAAAATTGAATACTTGCAAGTATTTTTATAAAGAAGAAAGTGAGCACAAAATATTCAAACAGAAATCAAAATTGGGCATGAATTGTTGTGAAGGTGCATATATGAATCTCATGGATCATTGTCAAACGCATCATCCATTAACACACTCATATTATCATCCTCATGTAAATCCATGTAAAAACGAAGCTAAAACGATATCAAAACTTATTCATAGATAATGAAAATGTGTAATCATGTCCAAAAAATTCATTTTCGTTGTCGTTATATTAAAGCAACTAATGATACAATATAAGTAGCAAATATACTAACGAAGCTTAAAAATTGGGTAAGCACTAACAAGGACAGTACTACATAAAATAAAATAAAAACAAAGTGTGGTTTCACACGACTTCATTTTTCCGTTCATTCCTAATGTAGTTTGTAAAATCTTCGGCACACAAACCACTGAACGAATCAAGCGAACAATAACCTAACTTGGCGATGATGCAAAGAATATGAAAAGACTAATACAGTAGAAGACATTGTATCATGAAAAATCAAACTAAAGACTGAAAATTATCATAAGCATTAACAAACAATTGTTTTCGTTCGTTTTCTCAGGAATCAAACAGAAAAGATAAAAACATTTATGATAATCCTCAAAGATACAAAATATTCCCAATTGGAAAAAGGGAAAAAAGAGCACAAAAACAGGCAAAGGACAATATAAAAAATCAAAAGACTGAATCAATATCTGATTAATCTGGGTATTTGCTTTCTTTCAAAATTAGAAAACTGAATTTTTGAGAGAAAGAGAGAGAACTGATTAACTGAGAAATAGAGAAAGCGAGCAAGCAAGCAGACGTCGCGGGCAACACAAAAATCAGTTTTGATTTGGGTATTTGAAGCGGTTTTGTTTTCCTGTTGTTAAATTTCGCATCGCAGATTTTGAACAACTTTTGGTATCGGAAAACGCTACAGTAATTAACATCAGCCCGTCTAGCTCAGTTGGTAGAGCGCAAGGCTCTTAACCTTGTGGTCATGGGTTCGAGCGCCATGGTAGGCGTTTTTGATCTTTTTTTTTTTTTTTTTTTTTTTTTTTTCAAACAAAACTTTTTCTAGTTTTATTTTTAGCCACGCTTTCCAGAACTGATTTTAATCTGACTTTATCCTCTGTAAGCAAAAAATCGTCATTTTACCCCTGAAACAAGCAATTCCTAGTCCGGATAGGTGAAATGCACACTTCCTCCTATAAAATTTCACATTGCTAACAGTTAATTAATAATCTTAGGGGTGTTCAATTCATGGTGTCTAGCTGAATCAATGTATTAAAAGGCGGAGGCGTAGGCGAGACGTTCCATGGATAGCCCCGCCTAGGTGTGAGGCGAAGCCTAACGGGATCTAAATAACTTAATATATATTGCATATATAATTATATACATAGTATAATACTTTGTAAAACAAATATAATTATAAATAAGCCAAAGATAATATCTTCTTCTTCATTACTAAGTGTAGTTGTACTTGGAAATTATGTCATATAGTCTTAAAATGTTGTAATTATTTATTTTATTGTACGCAATTATAGTGAACTTCAAGAGAAATAAGGTTGAGTGGCCACAATTATAGGGAGTTTGAAATAAAATAAAGACAAAATGTCGCAATTATACGCAATTCAAAAGGAAATAAAGGCTAAGTGGAGCTATTATAGGGAATTTAAGATGAAATAAAGATTGAGTGGAGCAATTATTATAGGGAATTTAAAGGAAATAATGGCTCAGTGGAGTAGTTACAGGAAATTTCAAGAGATAAATCTTGGCTAATTAAAATGCTAGGTGGCAGAATCTGAATGGGCAATAATTAACAAAAAAAAAAAAAAAAAAAAAAAAAAGTTAGAGTTAGACTTTGCGACTAGGATTTGGAGAGAGAAACTTTCTCCTTCTTCTTCCCTGAAACTAGAACGGCACATAGAGGAATGGCAGAAACAGAGGAACGGCAGAAATAGACCTGGATTTGGAAGGGAAAAAACGCCCAACTGAACGCCTGGGCGCGCCTCAGCCGCCTAGGCGCGTCCCAACGCCGCCTTACGCCTACCTCCACAAAACAAAGGTGAAAACCCAGCAGCCCCGCCTCCAAGGGCACCTAGGCGCGGCCAGAGGCTAGTTTTTTAAAACACTCTGAACCGAACCTATCTAAATCAGGACAGTTTTGTAGTGCTGTATCATAATTCATGTTCAAATAGTCAAGACCTCTGGTCCTTGGCACTGACCCATGTCGTGCCGTACCAATGCTTAAACAGTCCTGTTTTCTTGAGTCTTGTCTTTTTGTTTAGAACTACTTACATTACGTTATTCTTTTCTATAATTGAGAGCTAAACTTGTCTTCTTTAAAGAAATGAAAGGGGGAGAAAAAAGGATAGAGATACATCAAATTCACATGAGTGTCATCCGTCCTCCTTTCTAAAATTTTAATTTACATGCATTTCAGATTTTATCAATAGAATCAATCAGCTAAGTAGGCGCATCTTACAAACCACATTTCATCTGCATCAAACTGACATTGTTGTTTTATTGACGATACTATTTCTTTCTCACAAAGAACATAAACAGAACAGATAAATTCAGTACATTTTCAATTTTTCTTAATCGAAATAATACGGGGCTGAAGATCAATACCTCAGCAAGCAGCAACAACTCAGCAGCAGCAGAAACTTCAAAACCCCTAAATTGAAACAGAAATTAGTACATTTCCTTCTCAGAACAACCCTCTAAAACAGAACTAATAACCCCTAAATTGGATTCAGAATAACCCTAAATTTTCAAACCCTAGATTCGGTTTTAAAACCTCACATTCAACATCTATAACGCACATGCAAACACAAAGTGAAGTTTAAAACTCCAATTTAGAAAAAAAATTAAAAATCCTAAATTCGAGTCATAAAACCCTAACTTCAGGAAACCCTCAATTCAAAATTCCAAACAATAACATAGATATTAGAAAGATACACAGAATAATTACCTTTGATTCAGCTTCCAACTCTCTTATATAGCCTTCAGAGTTCCGGGTTTGGGTTTTTAATTTCGAATTTTGGGATTTTTAGACAGGGAAAGAGGGAATTGTTGGCCAGCGAAAGAGGGATTCTGGTTCAGTGAAGGATTTAGGCGTCGCAGTGGTTCAGGAGCTCGAGGAGAAGGATCGGGGAGGCCGTCGACGGCGAGAGTCGAGAGAGCGCAGGAAGTAACAGAGCGAGGTGTTAAAAACTGATGAGAGATCCTACGGCTAAGATTTAATCTGACTAAATAGATATATAAAAGTAAAACTACAAAGTAAATGGAATTGGATCCTGATCCTAGGGAGAGGATCATTCTGATCAAGGATCTTGGACCGTTGGATGAAAAACCCTCTTCTGAGGATCTTTCTGACCAAGGATCTTGGATCGTTGGATGAAAGATCCTCTCCTGAGTCCAAAGAGAGGATCTTTCTGACCAAGGATCTTGGACCGTTGGATGAAAGATCATCTCCTGAGTCTAAGGAAAGGATCCTCTTGACCAAGGATCGTTGGATTTTCATCCAACGGTTATAATTATTATAACTTTAAGGGGACCCCTCTATTTGTAGTTTCATCCAACGGTTCAAGATCCTTGGTAAGGAGGATCCTCTCCTTGGGCTCAGGAGAGGATCCAATTCCAAAGTAAATATATTTTGCCACTTCAACTATTGGTCACCTAATAAACTCATACATCAGTTTTTATAGATTGCAATGTTATACAAAAATTTACGAATTCGTTACAAGTCATATCTCCGTTAGTCAATCCGTCAAATTTTACTACTAAGGAAGTGGCAAATATTGACCCATATTTTCTAACATGACAATCAATTGTACCATGTAGATACAAAGTATATTATAAAATAAACATCAAAATAAAATAAATGTTAAAAAAATAAAAAATAAAAAATATGAAAAAATGAATTATCGTCCCATTAGTTGACAATGCACTTAGGAGTGAGTTCAACAAACTAAAAATCGTAAAAAAACCTTTGAAGTTGAAGAAATCGAACCAAACAAAAAAAAAAAAAACTAACTAAATTATAAAATTCGAACCAACCAAAATATTTTGGTGAAATTTCATTGGTTTAAGAACGTGAAATCAAATTATTTTAAAACAATGTCGTTTTACAAGTTTTCTTATAAGATTACTAACACAAGGCTCATGCATAAGCCCAAGATAATAAACCTTTTCATTTAATTTTTATAAAAGCCCAAATCTAAATACTAACACATCTATCTCTTATTAGGGATGCAACTTGGGTTGGGCCAACCTGAACCCGTTCATGTTCAACCTGACTTTAAACCCGAACAAGCAGGTTTTTTTAAGTTATAATCACCCGAACCCAATCTGATTTCAACCCATTCATTGATTGGGTTGGGTTGAGTTGATCATTTGTCCAACCCGATTAGGTTGAGCTATGCAACATGCTTCTCAATGACCCTTGCACCTTTGTGGAGGATTCACTAGTGACTTTTAATGGATTATGATAGAAAAGTGCATGGAGTTGCAGAAAGCAATTGTTTTTCTGGCAGGCACACTTTGATTTTTCTACAGGAGCTTCAAAGGACAAGACTTGAGTTGGGTACTAGCTTTGTTTTTCTGTAGGAGCTTCAAAAGACAAAACTTGAGTTGGGTACTAGCTTTGGACAATGAAGTGTTCCCCTTTTTCTTTTCTTTTTTTTTCTTTTGGTACTAGCTTTGGTATTTCTTGTATTTTAATTCAAACTTTGCATGAACCCGATTAAAACTTGAAAAAGTTAGGCAACCTGAAACCAACCCAAGTAAACCCGAACCCGAACGAACTCGATTAAAACCCAACCTGAACCCGAACCCGAATTGTAAAAGTTGGGTTAGGGTTGGGTTGACCTTCTAACCCGCCCAACCCAGCCGAGTTGCACCCCTATCCTCTATAGCTCATCCATTCTCTCATTCCTCTAAACCTTGGTGCATTATGTTTCTCTTCATTTTTAGAGAGGCTAACTTTGTGGCTGATGCGTTTGCACGTCTGGGCCTTTCTATTTCTGGTAGTCATATTTGGGAGTATTGTATCCCAAGCTTTGCTTCTTCTATGCTTATCTTTGATTTTACTGGAAATAGTTGTATTCGTGGTTTCTCTCTTTAATAATTTTTTCTTGCATAAAAAAAATCTTTATCTCTATCTGTATTTCCTATTTTCTCTCTCATCTCCTTCTCATCAATTTGCTGCCTCCACCAACCCGGCCCACCACTCTCCTTCTCTTCTCTTGCTCTAATTCTAAGGTCTGAATCAAAACAAAAATCCCTAATTAAAACATATGTAATATGATAAATTTCCGTTGAAAATTTAGGAGCAAGACACCTCAAAATCCGAGTTTGGTGCAACGCCAGTACTTGCATTTTCCATTGTACCTAATTGTGCTTTCGGCCTTCATACGAATATAGTGAGGGATAAGCCTGAACTGCCCATCATTTTAGCTATTTCTTGATCATAAAACTCTTGTCTGACAGTTTGTTCGAGCTTGAAGTTGGAGATTCACCACGAAGTTACGACCTTGGCTTTTTTTTTTCTTCTTCTTTTCAATAGCAAAAGCCACAAAGTTGCAATCAACTTTTTTTTTTTTTTTTTTTTTTTTTGTATTTTGTAATTGTGTATTTGTTCGTTGTATATTAATAATCATCTTCAGATTCTGTTAAAAAAAAAAAAAAAAAACTGCACGGACCGAAACAAGATAAAAAAATTGAACCGAAACAAAATTAAACAGTAATTTCGGTTTGAATTTATTTTTGGCAAAAAATCGAAGTGTATGAAACCGAACCCACCCTAAGTGTATTAACATTCAAATTTATAAAAAATTAAAAAAATCTGAAAAACTAAATGAAAAATTGAAAAAATATGGTGAAGGTGTTATAGTTTATGATTTGTGTGTGGTTTTAGAGGTATCAGAGCACAAAATAATCAAGCAGAAAATCAATGAGATGATGATCGCTGCTCAAAGAGCATGAAGAAATGGAGATGTGAGAAAATCGGAGAAGTTACTCCTTGGATTAGATTCAGCTATAATTGAATTGATGCTTATAGAAAGAAAATGAAATGGAGGGTGAGATATAGTTGTTGAAAGTGCACTGTCACATCCCGGCCCGGGCGGGACTACTTCCCGAGCCCGACTCCCCTACCGTAGCATGATATTGTCCGCTTTGGGCTTACCATTCCCTCACGATTTTGTTTTTGGGAACTCACGAGGAACTTCCCAGCGGGTCACCCATCATGGGATTGCTCTAGCCCCCTTCTCGCTTAACTTCGGAGTTCCTACAGAACCCGAAGCCAGTGAGCTCCCAAAAGGCCTCATGCTAGGTAGGGATGAGAATATATATTTAATGATCACTCCCCTGGGCGATGTGGGATGTCACATGCACTCACTCATCCACCTCACACACTCTCACGTGCACAACACATGCTCACCTATAAGTGAGTTGTTATGACATGTGGCACACATCTAGCAATTACAAACTAAGAACAAACACTTGAATTCGAAAGGAAATGAGAAACTTGGATCAAAGGCAGCTGCATATGCTTAAACATCAACACTCCCTCCTAAGCTAGCAGTTGATTTGACTCCCAACATCTTTCTAAAGTAGTTGAATTTCTCCTTTGGTAATATGCCTTGGTCAGAATATCAGTCATTTGTTCTTCGAATTTGTAATAAACAAGTTCAATATCATTCTCTTGAATTGCTTTTCTAATGAAGTGAAATTTTTCTGTTGATATGTCTTGTTTTCTAGTGAAACACTGGATTCTTGGCCATATCTATTACTGAAGTGTTATCACACATTAGCAATGTAGGTTCAACTTGTTCTTCCCCAAAGTCTTATAAAACAAACCTTAACCACTTGACTTAAGATGTAGCTTCTGTTGCACTCACATACTTAGCCTCTACAGTGGATAATGCCACTGTGTTTTGCTTGATTGAGGCCTAAGAAAATAAACTTGAGCCAAGATTAAAGGCTGACCTTGATGTACTCCTGATGGCATCCTCTTTGCTAGCTCAATCACTATCACAATAACCAATAAAGAAGTACTGATATTCTCTTTACATATTCAATGCCAAAATCCAGAGTATCTTGAATGTATCCCAACACTCTTTTTGTTGTTCCCATATGCTTTTTAGTTGGATCATGCATGAATCTTGCCAAGAGACTAGAACCAAACATAATGTTTGGTCTAGTGGCAGTGAGATACAACAAACTTCCAACCAATTTCTTGTATTTAGACTCATCAGCAGCCTCACTTCCATCATTCTTGCTTAGTCTTTCCTTTGTTGCAAGTGGTGTTCCCACAAACTTACAATCCTTTAGACCAAATTTTTCCAACTACTTCATTGCATATTTCTTCTAATGACTGACGATGCTCTTCTTTGTTTGTACGACTCCCATACCAAGGAAATGGTGAAGCAATCCCCAAGTCTGTCATCTCATAGTGTCGCATCATGTCATTTTTGAACTCCTCAAGAATTGTGACACTACTTCCAGTTTACACAATGTCATCAACATATAGAGAAACAATGAGAATCCCTGAGTTTTCAACTTTGGTATATAAGGTGACTTCATTGGAACTTTTTTGAAAACCAAACTTAGTGAAATAAGAGTTAATTTCATCATACCAAGCTCTTGGAGCTTGCTTAAGGCCATATAATGCCTTGTTTAACTTGTACACCTTATCCTATTTGCCTTGTATGACAAAACCTTGAGGTTGATCAACATAAACCTCATTCTTGAGTACACCATTGAGAAAAGCAGACTTTACATCCAATTGAAATAGATGCCATTCCTTTTTGAGTTGCAAGAGCTATCAAGGTTCTTATGGAATCAAGCCTAGCAACTGGTGCAAAGGTCTTATTGAAGCCAATTTTTGGCTTCTGTTAATAACCTTTCGCAACTAGCCTAGCTTTGTTCTTTTGTACTGCTCCATCAAGATTCAGTTTAGCCTTGTATATCCATTTCACACCTATCACAGGTTTACTAGATGGTCTATCTACCAGCATCCATGTATTGTTCTTTTCAATCATATCTAGTTCAGTTTGTATAACTTTCTTCCAAGATACATCCATAGTTGATTCTTCATAATTCTCAAGTTCCACAATGCAAACATTACACTGAGCTAGCACTTCATCCAATGCTCTCTACTTCTTTGGAGTAAAATCATAGCTCTGTGACAGGCTCAAGTCTACCTGTGAACTTGGACC